TCTCCCCAAGCATCTCTCTGCCTCCAGCCTCCCTGCAGGCAGGGTCATTCTTGTCCCCTCGGCCTACCTGAGTGTCTCCTAAAGAGAGATGGACAGCTAGGACCTTCTCAACCCATGAAGAGCCAGAGGAACTCTGCCAAATACAGAGAGAGAGGATGGAGCCTGGACAAGAACCCAGGGCCCCTGCCTCCGGGCACAGCCCCCCTTCACTCCAGAGAGGGCAACACACTGAAACCTCCAGCTGCAAACCACGGGCCTCAGCAGCAGCCACAGGCTCTTCGCCCCAGGATCACTTTGGTGCAGATGCCACACTTGGAGAAGAGCGACCTCCGGTTACTTACCAAGTGCCTGCAATTATCCAGGCTCGGTACACCACAGCTCCCGCGTCCCTTACTCCTCACCATGACATCTGAGACAGCCACTGTTCCTATCCCAGTTTTCAGATGGGCTCACTGAGGCGCTGAGAGGCCAGGTGAACCGCCCGTGGTCACCCAGCCGGGATGTGCAGGGCCCAGCTTTTGACGGCTCACTCTGCCATGCTGACAGCTAGCATCTGTGTTGGCCACCAGGCAACAAGGGGGACTCACCAGCTAGACGCAGGCACACCCCGGGCCCCGCGGTGTGGTGAGCTCCAGGCCTCTGCTACCGGGAGGGAGAGCTGGGCCGGCGCGGGGAGGAGCGCTGCCGCCCTGCCTCCGAGGGTCCCGGACCCCTCCCGGCCGCGGCCGCTCCGCACTGGCAGCGATGGGCTGTGGGCGCGCTCTGGCACTCACGGAAAACGTTTCCAGCAATGGCAGCAGCTGCTGTTGCCGCAGCTCCGATCCCCAGAGGATCCCAAAGCCTTTCCCATCATTTTTGCCCTTTTTCAGAAACCACTTAGCCGCTGCCCCTCCTCCCGCCATGCCAGGGCTGCAGTGCACTTAAGCCACACACAGCCCAGACCAGCCAGAGACGTGACCTCAGCCCTCAGGGAAGGAGGGTTCTGCTCAGGCGGCCCAAACCCACCACCCTCACAGGCAGGGTGTCCTGGGGACACAGCCCAACAAATGCAGTTTACAAGCCAACTTTAAGGCCAGGTGACAGGTAAGAACTATGAATGCTGAGATTCGATCATTCACATCCCACCTCCTCCAAATAGCCTCCCCCCGCCCCAAGGGCCTGTTCTGAGGTGCTCACCTCTCAACTCCTGCAGAAATCTCAACCATGCCTTCCTGGGGCCATTGGTACCTATGATCACAGTGACAACGACAGTGACAGTGAATACACACTGAGTGCATGCAGTGTGCGGGCTCTGGGGTAAGCACCTTGCATGCACTATCTCATTGGGCCCTCACAGTTTCATGAGGTGAGTATGATTTTGTCCCCAATTTAAGATAAGAAAATGAAACAGTCGGGCTAGGTAACCTGCCCTCCGTTTCCCTTCTTGAAGCCCCGCTCTGGGTCTTGCCCAAGGGGTGTGCTGACCGGCTCTATCTGAACAGCACCTGCACGGAGTGGTGGCTCCGCTAAAACATGATTGGTGGTGGGGACAAGACCACAGGCTGGGCCTCACCGCCATCAGTGTGGTTTTCTGCCTCATAATTTGAACAGGGTTTTCTTGAATTTACATGATGTACCCATTAAAATTCCTTGTAAGTAGATTGTGTTTTAATGATGGCTTCTAGCAGGAGGTGCTTTACCAAGCTCAGGTCTGATGGAGACAAGAAACA